CTAAACCACACAATACTAGTAGAGAATCACAGCCATACATGTGGCAAGAGTACTACTACACATAAAAGCTGAAAAAGTGAGCTCATGCAGTACAGCATGCAGAAGCCATGCAGAGGGCTTCTCACGTGCCAATCTTAAGCAAAGTATCTTCATTATCTCTTGTATTATATATGTTAACAGGCTCGGAAAAAGAGACGACGGCATATGGCTCGAAAATTAGCAAACGGCAAACGACGACAGTTCGGATACACTAAAACGAGGTTCAACAAAATGAGATTAACCACAACAGCAAAAGGCTCAATTTTTCGTAAACGTAAGTTCCAAAATCCACGTCAAATTCACAAAACAACAACGCAAAGAACAAAAAGATCCAAAATATTACGACCACACTCGACAGATCCAAAACAACGAACACGAGATAATGAGCGAATAAACACGCGCACGTAGAAATAACATGAAGAAGGCTCGATCGACATACTTTTCTTAGAGGAATTCACAAGCCTGGTTAAAATCAGACACAGCGAACTGAATGAAAGATCGAACGATTGACGAAACTCCTCGACGAACGGCGGACGTCGGCTCACGTGGACTGAGGACGGATTGAGGCTCGTCAGAATGACCGGCATTCAGCAATGCGATGTCCCTGGGACGAGAGTTTCCAGCAGGCTTGCCGGCTGAGGTGCTGAGTGGTTGAGGGCGTCGCTGCTGGACCTGCGCGCACGTCGGGTGCAGCCTGTGAGTGCTCCGGCGGTAGAGAGGGTAAAGAGTGAGAGGGCTATGAAGGTGACGAATTTATTTGAAAATTCTTTTTTCTTTTTTCTGTCGAATTTGGCGAGAATGCAGAAGAGCATGAGGGAGAGAGGATGCGTATGAATTGAGGAAGGAAAAATGAGTAAAGGCCTTATTAATTTGCTAAGGAAATCAAATTGAAATAAATGGACATCAATTAGCCACTAATATGGTGTATAATTTAGCATTAATGGAGGGGAAAAACACGGTTACATAAAGCTTCAAAAAGGCTGGAATTATTTAGTCAATACATACTAAAAGAAATGCTCACAATTTCAAATGTTGGAGTACTTAAAACTAATTATCCAAACTAAATCAAAAGTGGGCGGTTTATCCATAGCATTGAGCCGTGATCTTGAGTTTAATGGACCTCGAAAATATATGAACTTGAGCCAAAGATATATACTCAAAATTCGGATTAAAGTGGCTCGATAACGAGTCGAAACAGATTAAATTCGGATTACGCGATTAAACCAAAATCGTCGAATACATTAAATTCTAACTTAAATAATCCTAATAATTCACACACATAAATAAATAAAATAATAACATAACAATCTAATAATAAGCAGTTAATTAAGACAGATAAAAAAATGAACAATTAATATAAATAAATGAGCAATTAAATAAAACGAAGACAAATAACCAATTATAGTCAAATAAATAAATATACGAAATCCGGAAAATTCTAATAATCGAATGGGGCGCTACACTTATACTCATGCCATCATACTTAGAAAAATTTCTCAAAGGAACATTAACCTAGCAACATGATAGCTCGGCTAGAATTATTAAGAAATATCTCGACCGAACATGCTCGGTTTCGGTCGCGGCTCGACTTCGACGATTAATCCAAATATTTCGACTTCTAATAATACGTCGACTTAATATAATTAATCCCAATTAATAATACCCATTTATAAAATAAATGTATCAGAATTAATTATCGAAACTGATTCGGTTACTGAAAAATAAATTAAACCGAATCGATTTTTTGACTTAAAGTCGAACTTATATCTGAATAACTTACTAACTGGGCTCGAAACTCATCTTTGACGATTTATCGAATATTCTCGAATTTGATTAATACGTCAACACTGGAATAATTAATCCCGAATTTACTATGTCCATTTATAAAATAAATGGACTGAGATTAATTACTAGAATTGGCTCGGTTAATAAATAAAATTAACCGAATATACTTTCGACTTAACGTCGAACTTGGAACTTAACTAGGTGAATAACTTAGGCTCGAAACTACTACTGAGCATTTATTAATAAAGGCTAGCTTATACCCAGAAGCTAGTATCTTTCTCTTATTAATAAAAGACGGGGCGTTACACATCTCTAGGCTCAGGTATTACTCCAGAGTTGCAACATTATTCGCTCTCTTGAACTCTTCGAATTGACTTAAATGTGTCATGAAACAAAATTCTAAATTTACGAGAACAGATAAGATTCAACTGAAATTAAGACTTAACTCCATCCGAATTTCATTCTACGCAAGGAAAGAAAATACAAGAGAAATTTCTAAATAAAGATAATTGAATAATCAATAAGAGCTTAAAAACAAAATTTCAAATAACCAATAGGAGTCTCAAAATGAAATTTAAACTTGTCTATCAAGAAAAAGGGAAATAAACAAGGTTTGCCCTACATGTTCTGTTGAGCATGTTCTGTTTACCTGTTCAAAAGCTGGCGAGGTTTGGGAAATAGCTCCGGTGAATTGGGATGGTCTGCTGCCCTACACTACCTCCTTCAGAGGGTGGTGGTCCCATTTATGCTCCTTGGCTAAATCTGAAGTGGCTGAATCCAGGATCCAATTGACCACCTATATGTTATGGTGGCTTTGGAAGGCGCGCAATCTTTGGTTGTTTCAAAATACCATCCTCTCAGCTCATCAACTGGTCAAGACTGCTCACAAGCAGTGGCTGGAGTTTTCTATGATTCAGGGTTCTTGATGGCTTGGCTTTTATTTCGGTTTGTTGGGT